AGAACTGTCTGAATATAAAATGTTAACAATTATTCCTCAATTATATCACCCATCTCCATGCTTGAACAATTGTTTAGCTCCTAATCCTCTTTTCTAGCAGCCATCTAGTCATTTCCTGCCAAACATTCATGTCAACATACCCAAAAGCAAGCTCATCGTCTTTCATCATGGTCATTAAGTAACCTATTTTCTCTTCTATGAATTCCCATAACATTGTGTTTTATCACTTAAATGGTGCTTAGTACGTTCTTACTACCCTCATCTCCCCTGCAGGAAAAATGTAACCCTTGAAAGCGGATAGTGATATTTAGAAACCTTTGGAGCTCTCACAACACATGTGGGCTCTCACCAATCACAGGATAAACAAATTGCAACTTCCCACATATGAGGACATATCCTGACCCAGGAAAGGGGAGGGCTGTCATTGTGGGGCGCTGATGACACGTGACCCCCTCACTCACTTTAATGCTTCAGGGCACAGTGAGCCCCCTTCCTACTGCTTTCCTCAGTGGGAACACACTTCCAGAAAAGGCAGGTGCAAAATGTAGGTCTTCCATGGGACTAGCACAAGTACTCCCCGGAATGGCCATTCCCAGGAAGACCAGGATCGTATGTAGGATCAGAGGGCAACAACATTTGTTTGTCACTGATTTAAAATGAAGAAATTAAGGGCAGTTCTTTACTCAGGCACAACATAGAGGCAACCAACATCTAGGGTGTCCCTTTAAAAATAAAAATGACTGTCAAAATGATGAGTCCCTACAACAGCCTGTGGGTATCCCATCTACCCGGAAGGGAGAAGACCCTCTTAAACACAGTTTCTTTAAAGACATGTAAACTAGGTTCTGCCAATATTTCAGATTTCTAATGACAGAAACACCTTATGTAGTCCATCCTATCAAACACCTCTGAGAAGGAAATCAAGGTACACTATCGTGGTGGCCCTGCATCCCCAGTATATTTTTTTTCAGTGCAGACACACACCCCTGTGTGTGTACCCTCCATGCTTACGTCAAACTCATTCAGAGCCGCAGCCAGCTCGCCGATGCCCGTGTGGCCTTTGGCTTCGTCAGTGGGCGAGGTAGCTTGAGCAGCATTAGAGATGCCAGCAATGGCCTCCTGGACTTGCTTAAACACATAATCCCGATTGGCTCGAGTGGCGGCAACATCTGGGTGGCGGAGAAATGCTTGGGAGGCCGTGTATAGCATTGTAGCGTTCTTCTTCAGAGCCCCTCTGGCAGCCGCCATCTCATCCCGACAGTGGGGGTCCTTCAGCTCCTGTGTGCCCAAAACATGACACCTGTCACATGCATGATGTTTGCATGGAAGTGTTTGCAATAGAATTTGGAATCATAGACTCTTAGAAACACATTGAATTTTAGCAACCATCTACTCTCTCTAGCTGCCAGGACTTTGCATACCCTGTTCCTTCTATGTGAGATGGCTGAGCCTTCCTCCTTCCCCCAACTGTGTCACCTAACAGAGCTCCACTTGCCTGGCATGTCCTAGAAAGGACTCTTCCNCAGAGCCCCTCTGGCAGCCGCCATCTCATCCCGACAGTGGGGGTCCTTCAGCTCCTGTGTGCCCAAAACATGACACCTGTCACATGCATGATGTTTGCATGGAAGTGTTTGCAATAGAATTTGGAATCATAGACTCTTAGAAACACATTGAATTTTAGCAACCATCTACTCTCTCTAGCTGCCAGGACTTTGCATACCCTGTTCCTTCTATGTGAGATGGCTGAGCCTTCCTCCTTCCCCCAACTGTGTCACCTAACAGAGCTCCACTTGCCTGGCATGTCCTAGAAAGGACTCTTCCCTCAACTCTCTAAGCTATGACCCCTTCTATATGTTCGCAAAAGACCCTGTTCCTCTCCCATCATTAACACTTGTCATACTTTATCATATGGACTTATTTAAGCATGTTTCCCTCCTATGCTGTATCTCTAATGACAGCAGGGAGCCTGTCTATCTTCCTCAGTGGTTTGTTAGCCATTAGCACAGTGTCTGGCTCATAAGCAGCATTCTACAATTATTGCTAATGTTTCCCTCCTATGCTGTATCTCTAATGACAGCAGGGAGCCTGTCTATCTTCCTGAGTGGTTTGTTAGCCATTAGCACAGTGTCTGGCTCATAAGCAGCATTCTACAATTATTGCTAAAAGAATGCAAAAAACCGGGCCACCCACAAGGTAAGTGGATTGCGTGGATCACAGTTAGTTATCAGCAAGTGAAAACTTGAACTTCAGTCTTCCAAGGCCCTGCTGGCCACCGTATTCATGTATTCCCATGTTTGTAGTTGTAATAATTACAAATATGGGAAACCAAACTTCTGGTTTTTGCTTAGTGCATCAATGCTATTGCACTAACATTTTCAAAATAGGGTTCTTATTTTTTTTAACTGTTCCTAATTGCAGTTCAATCATTGAGATTAGAGAATAGAAAATAATAGGGCAAAGATGATTTGTTTTCCTAGTTTTGGATGCCAATATAATACCACTGAGGAGTCTCTTTATTTTCAGCTTTAAAGAATATTGTTAAGAAAATGTTTATTTTTGGAAATGTTATTGTTAAGAAAATGTTCCCATCATTTTTGGAAACGTTAAAGGCAGTGCTGCTCTCTGACAGCCATTTATTTAGATTGCTAGCTGACTATTTCTGGAAGAATATTATTCCAGCTTTAAAATATCCATAAAGGGTCTTTGAACCACTGGTGTTCTCTTCCTACTTGCTCATTTGGTGCATGATAGAGGGATGAACTGGCATCAATGAATTCCATCTTCTCATTTGTGGCTCAATTATATAACACATTATATTTGATATCTAGGGTTTCAAGACAAATTGATAATAAATAATAATGAATTAAACCATCTATTCTCCTTTGCTTAAGCACTAACAGATTTATGCCAGCCAACACAATTTCTAAATTAAGGTTTATTTAATTTGAGCCCTAGAGATGAAAACAGGTAAATAGATAACAAACCACCTGAGTGTATTTTCTATACTAGGCAATGATCTAAGCACAGTGAAGGTTTCTCCTGAGTAGTCATCAAGGGCCTTATTAACATCCAGAACACTTAGTCTATATATTTACTTATTTATATATTTATATATACATATATATACACACACACACACACATATATATATATATATGAAAATGAGAAGTGGGGGTTGGAGGAATTCTGTACATAATAATATTTGAGGAAGCATTCTTTAATCAAAAAAGAACTGGAAACAATCTAAATGTTGAATTATAAAGAACTGGTTAAGTAAACTCCTGAAACATTCATTCGATGGACTACTTATGTGGCTATTAAAAGTAGTTTCCAAAAAGTTTCAACATGTATAATATTTATAAGATAAATGAAAAAGCATAACAGAATATGCATATCTGTATACATAGTATGATTATACATATGTTAAAATGCGAAGATAAATAAGTAAAGAGCAATATACCAAAATATCAGCACCATATTTTTTGTGGATGTTAGGGTGTTATGTGGACTGTTTTCCTTCTTTCTATTATATTTTATTTTCCTAAATTTTCTCGTAAGACTCTGAACTAGTAATTAATTACAAACAAAGTATTAATAAAATAAAAATAAACCATATTTATGGGCATTCTCATATGAATTCTCATATATTCTAGTGGCTTTTAATACCAACTATATGCTGATGACCTGCGTTTCCAGCTGATACCTCTCTTCCATCTGACATATCAATGTGGATATCCTATAAGCATCTCAAAATCAACATATCTAAATATGAAATCTTGATTTTTAACTCCAACAGGCTTCTTTCTAGTCTTCTTCATCTCAGTGAATTCATGACCATCTACCCCTTTGCTCAAACCAGAAGCTTAGCAGTGACTTGGTTGCTGTTGGTCTCTAACGTGACACAGTGAATTCAATAGCAGCTCCTGAGTGCTCTGTTTTCAAAAAGCACTTTGATCTCTATACTTCCCTTTACCTCCACTGCTATGGCCCTAAGGGAGACTCATCAACTCAACAGCCCCCTCCCAGCTGGTCTCTTCCCTTCCACTTTACTCTCTCCTTTGTAACATAACAGAGTAACATTAAAGTGTAAATCTGAGACGTTACTACCAAACTTTCAGCAATTCAAGTACTATCCACTCACAATAAAGCTCAAACACTGCAAGATTCTGAATATCCTGGCCCCCATCTTTCTTTCCAACCTCTCTCCCTTGGTTCACTGAAATCAAGGGTCACTGTCTTTCTTTCAGTTGTCTGAACAAGCCAAATGGCTTCTAGGTTTCACACCTGCACTTCAGAGTAACTTTGCTCCTACCTATATACCATTTTGGGCTACCACACGAGATTGCACTTAAATAAGGAAATCTGCTAATAAGAAACATTTAAACATCATCGCAGAAACTAAAATCACTTTAATGTGCCTGTCACACAAAGGACTAGATCTTGGTCAAGTCTGTAATCCCAGCATCACTTCAGCTGCACACAGTGAACACTCAACAGTGTTTGTTGAATGGAACTTGCCTGTCAATCATAAAGAAACTTAGAGAAAGTCATAAGGAATTGCCCAAAATGTTGAAGAATTCTGGGAATTGTGAAGAGGATGGGTAAAAAGAATTGTAACAGATACTACCACATGTGGAGATGTTTTTTCTCCCAAAACACTCTTTCAAGAACATACTCTTTGGGAACAAAGTTCTTATAGCACCCAATGATCTGGCTAAAACTCAGGGTGCTGTCTCCAGACAAAGGGGAGGCAGGGGAGACCCCAGATCATACGCCTGCATCAGAGTGACTCACATTTACCTGTGTTCTCCCTCCCCTCCCCACTTCCCAAGTGACCACAGCACTACACGACAGTTTCATTTCTTTTATTTGACCTGGGAGATGTTCCTACAATGGACAGAAGATTAGAGTGTGGTGGGACTAGAGAAGTGGTTCACACAGTGAAGCAGTGGTCTGCAACCTACTTATAGGCAGGGGCCAAAGAGTACCCCTGGGGCCCACCATGGTGTCTCAACTGTGCTAAGCAGGAAGCAATCTTTGTGGTGACAGGTTCCTAGGGCATTTGATAGCAAGGAGAGGCAGTTGATTCATTGTTCAGACCTGCAAAGCTACAAGGTTATTGAAACTCGCCCATATTCTCTCCTCTCATTTCCAAAATCTTTCCCACCTGTTGTCTTCTTGCTGCTACATAGTTAAGTTTCACCATCTCTTTTCCAAACTCTTTAAAGCGGTTGGCAAGGTCTTGCTCATTTGTAGCATTTTTGACAGCTTCCAGGGCCTCCTCCACCTGAAATGGTAAAAAACAACATAGTCATAGAGGATAGTACTAAATATTATTAAACATGTTAGAAAAGGTAATTTGTAAATAATAATAATAATAATGTGTTAACATTTAAATACTAATAGGAAAGTACCCCTAACAATGATTTATAGTCAGATTAAATATTTGTTTAAGATTTACAGAATATTTTGCATATAAAAGACAATAATTGCTGAACTCTTAGACCATACAAAAATCTTATATTTATTGCATTTTATCGAGGTATGATCTTGATAGGAATATTGATTTCTAAAGTAGAAACACTAAGGAAAATATATTTAAGAAAAAGAACTTTAAAACAAATTCTAGAAATCTTCAGAGGAAGAAGTGGTTCACAAACAAAAATTGGAGAAACTCCTGGGCTGCTGAAAATTTGGGACAGCTTGACTCTGCAACCAATCTTGGCAATACCTCTAAACCTGGGACTGAAGGGATTGCAATTTTAAACTGAGTTTACACCCTGCCATCCAATGGAAAGAGTAAATATTGAGCCTCTGGAAGAAAGTGAATTTGAAGTTTTGTTGAAACTTGAAGGTGGCATCAGCTGGAGTGAAATGGGGGTGGACAGAATGTCAGCAAACATGCCGCCCTAATGATGCATTTTGCTTCCGAATTACTACAAACTGCATCATTGAACTTTTCAGAGTGGCACAGAACTGAAATTATGAATTTCACCAAAAGTCCTTTATAAATGATTTAAGTATTTGAGAGGTACTAAAGTCTCCTTTCTTCACAAATGACATTAACTTTAATTGGATGTGAAAATTTCCACATTTGGTAACTTTGTAAGGTTATAATACATGTGGACTCAGTTAAAATTAAAATTAAGATGGTGTGGTAAAATAATCCACTGTGTCACTGTCACTCAGGTACCATCTTTGCAGAAATAATTTTATCAGTGGAAATAGCCAAGAACACAGTCCTGAGTGATAAGGCACAAGACAGATGTATTTTTGCAAGATCAAATACTCCTAAACATGAAGGGAGTCTTGTGGAGAGGCCCCCCGACTAGTACAGGCTCCTCAGAGAGGCAGAGGAAAAGGAGAGAAGGCAGCTCAGAAAGTCATAAGAAATGCAGGGAATATATAGGCAGAATTCAGATCGCTCTCGTTTAGGGCAAATCAAAGGACAATACACAGACAGTTCATTGTTTGCCAATTTGGGAATACAAATGGCTACTAAAATGCCTGGAAAGAGCCATAGATTAACTCAGTTCTGAACTGTACAGATACACCTTTGTTTAAGCTTGACACAGTCACAAAGGTGACTAATATACAACTTCCTTATCGTTTCACTGAGTGAAGGAAGAAGATAGCACATATAAACCAGAGCTAATGGATGATATCATTAAGCCTTTTATCCCATGGACATGATAGTACCATCTAGTTTGCCAAATAGACTAACTCATTTTGGTAAGAAAAGAGTTGTAGCAAGCAAGGGAAGTTAATTGGAATAATTGGGGAAGAAGTCAATCTGGACTCCACCTAAGCTTCCAATCTAATCTTCTATGGAAATTCTGCATCCTTTTTCCCTCTTAAGTATAAAAATATAGATGTAACTCCTTAATAATAGTTTCCAATTCCTATCCTAATAGCCTCTAATAATGCTCTAGGAAAAGAAGGAAGTACAGGTGAAAAGAGACTATTGTGTGTTAGGAAGTTTTTCAGACATTCAAGTCAAATTACATTTTATGGTATGGAATGGCCCATTTAAAGTATTTTCATGGTTTAATGAGACTGTCCTACCTCAAATCTTTAAAACAACACATCAGTGATGTCTTACTTTCTAGTAGATTCATAATCATCTTCACTTGGCTATCAGCAGCATCATTGAGAGGACAGCTCTTGGCATTTAATTTGTTCCTGCTGCTTATTTGAGATGTAAATCTTTCCCAGGACATGAAAACTGGTTCCAGGGAACAGCAAAATAATTATCTCAGAGGGAACTGAATCTTGGATTTATTTTCTAATATATATAAAATGTGCTTCTTACTGGTTGTAATCAGACCAATTTGGAGTATTTATTTTGTTGTGTATACTCATAACTTATTTCCTCATTGTTTTTTTTTTTCCAAGAATCCAGATGTCAGTTTGAATTTATACTTTGAAAGGAAACCCCAGTGACAGGGTCTGTCTGTGTAAAGATAGACTTAGCCATACACAGAGAAGGATCTGAGAGGTCACCTAGTCATAGTTCTCATATAGAACCATAGTTAGAATCTATCCAAGGTCCCACAGAAATGGAGGAAATGGGACCAACATCTGGATTACTGGCACACGTGGCTAGGAGATAGATAGATGAGTGATAGAGATGAATTGAGGGATGGATGGATAGACAGGCGGATGGGTGGATAGACAGATAAAGAAATGGGACCAACATCTGGATTACTGGCACACGTGGCTAGGAGATAGATAGATTAGTGATAGAGATGAATTGAGGGATGGATGGATAGACAGGCGGATGGGTGGATAGACAGATAAACAAATAGAATGTTGAAGGAACATGGAGGAAAAAGAAAAGAGAAGCTCAGCGACCAGGCACTTTGACAATTCAAAATTAATATAGAATCGAGTTTTTATTTTTGAATAGAGCGAATAATCTGCTGTGTTTTCTGGGTGGCTGAGGAAAGGAAATTGACACCTGTGAGCCAAACAAATGCCTTGCTCTCACACCTTTACTAGCCATTTAGGAGTTCAGAGCTGCCAATGCAAAGGTCAGTTGTATAGAAGAACAGTATGGGGCACTTTATCCAAAACACACCCACATTTGGTAACTTTGTAAGGTTATAATACATGTGGACTCAGTTAAAATTAAAATTAAGATGGTGTGGTAAAATAATCCACTGTGTCACTGTCACTCAGGTACCATCTTTGCAGAAATAATTTTATCAGTGGAAATAGCCAAGAACACAGTCCTGAGTGATAAGGCACAAGACAGATGTATTTTTGCAAGATCAAATACTCCTAAACATGAAGGGAGTCTTGTGGAGAGGCCCCCCGACTAGTACAGGCTCCTCAGAGAGGCAGAGGAAAAGGAGAGAAGGCAGCTCAGAAAGTCATAAGAAATGCAGGGAATATATAGGCAGAATTCAGATCGCTCTCGTTTAGGGCAAATCAAAGGACAATACACAGACAGTTCATTGTTTGCCAATTTGGGAATACAAATGGCTACTAAAATGCCTGGAAAGAGCCATAGATTAACTCAGTTCTGAACTGTACAGATACACCTTTGTTTAAGCTTGACACAGTCACAAAGGTGACTAATATACAACTTCCTTATCGTTTCACTGAGTGAAGGAAGAAGATAGCACATATAAACCAGAGCTAATGGATGATATCATTAAGCCTTTTATCCCATGGACATGATAGTACCATCTAGTTTGCCAAATAGACTAACTCATTTTGGTAAGAAAAGAGTTGTAGCAAGCAAGGGAAGTTAATTGGAATAATTGGGGAAGAAGTCAATCTGGACTCCACCTAAGCTTCCAATCTAATCTTCTATGGAAATTCTGCATCCTTTTTCCCTCTTAAGTATAAAAATATAGATGTAACTCCTTAATAATAGTTTCCAATTCCTATCCTAATAGCCTCTAATAATGCTCTAGGAAAAGAAGGAAGTACAGGTGAAAAGAGACTATTGTGTGTTAGGAAGTTTTTCAGACATTCAAGTCAAATTACATTTTATGGTATGGAATGGCCCATTTAAAGTATTTTCATGGTTTAATGAGACTGTCCTACCTCAAATCTTTAAAACAACACATCAGTGATGTCTTACTTTCTAGTAGATTCATAATCATCTTCACTTGGCTATCAGCAGCATCATTGAGAGGACAGCTCTTGGCATTTAATTTGTTCCTGCTGCTTATTTGAGATGTAAATCTTTCCCAGGACATGAAAACTGGTTCCAGGGAACAGCAAAATAATTATCTCAGAGGGAACTGAATCTTGGATTTATTTTCTAATATATATAAAATGTGCTTCTTACTGGTTGTAATCAGACCAATTTGGAGTATTTATTTTGTTGTGTATACTCATAACTTATTTCCTCATTGTTTTTTTTTTTCCAAGAATCCAGATGTCAGTTTGAATTTATACTTTGAAAGGAAACCCCAGTGACAGGGTCTGTCTGTGTAAAGATAGACTTAGCCATACACAGAGAAGGATCTGAGAGGTCACCTATCGTATAACTTCGTATAATGTATGCTATACGAAGTTATTACGTTTGCTTAATACCTAGTTGATTGGACTTTAAGTGACACTAATCAAACTATTTAATAAAGCATACATGCTAGCCTTCTTGGTTAAATTTTCTCTTTCCTTGTTAATAAGTGAGGAAAATTATTTCACAGAAAGCAGGAACGATTCAATGTTAGTATCATTCATTCTTAAAGTGTCATGTTTTGCAAAGCACAAAAATAATATCATGTAGGATATATTCCCCCAATTATTTTCAGTTTGTTCAGGAAAAATGACACCAGCTAGTGTCATTGAATGTGTATGATGTTTTGGACATTGTCCTGAATGGTTTACACATATATAATTTAGTCCTGAAAAGCAGGTCTTTGAATTTGACACTCCTTTCCCCCACTTTACAGAGCAGAGATAGAGATCAAAACAGAGGAGTGACATAACCTGCCAGAGACCTCATAGCAAGTATATGCAGGAGACTGGATTTAAACCCAGGTAGTTTGCCCCAGAGCCCATCCTCAACTCCTGGGCTATGCTGCATTCTTTTCCCAGAAAGGGTGGGTATATAAAGCTGATGGAATTTAAGCTTGGATTATACTGACCTACAGATTATGAAGACTCATTAAGAGCCTTGCCCATCTGATCAGTCTCCAACTTCTAGTCACTCTACCTCCCTAGCATCTCTAAAATCCACCTCTTTCTTACAGTACACACTGCCATTGCCTTAGCTTTTCATTCATTCCCTGGCCTGGATATTTTCAACAGTCTCTTCATCTGTCT